GATGCAACACACATTTTTGATTGATTTCCCTTGAATTCCACAAAAATAAAAGAAACGATCAGGAATTTCCCGATATCACATACGGGGAAGTGAAGTCAAGTGAGGTCACGGCTTTATCATTCTCCCAATATGCTCTTCCCATTATTGTTGTTATCACATTCATTACCATTATGATTATTGTCATAATCATTACTATTATGATTTTTATCATAATCATTACTATTATTATTATTATCATAATCATTACTATTATGATTATTATTATCATTATTGCTATTAGCTATTTAATATCATGATCATCCTTATTATCATTATTAGTAATATCATGATCATCTTTTCTATTATCATCTTTATCATTATCATCATTTTTATTATCATTATTGTTGTTTACCACCACTATTGTTTTTTATCATTAGCATTATTATTATCATCATTATTATTGCTATCATCATTATCATCATTACCATTATTACTATTACTATCATTATTATCATCATTATCATTATTATTAATAGTATTATTATTATTATTATCATTATTATTTTTATTATCATTATCATTGTTATCATCATTATCGCTATTATTACCACCATTATCATTATCATCATTATTATTACTAGTGTTATTACTCGTATCATTATTTTTCATCCCTATCATTACCATTACTATTATCATTATCATCACTATCATCATTGCATTATTACTTCTACTATTGTCATTATTGTCACTTATCATCATAATCATTATTGCTGTTTCTGTTCTTTTCATTGATATTACTACCATTATTATCATTACTATTAATACTATCATTATCATTATCCCTATTATTATCATTATTATTACTATTATTATTATTATTATTATTATTATTATTATTATTATCATTATTATTATTATATTATTATTATTCAGTATTATTATCATTATTATTACTTATTTCTATTATCAGTATTAGCATTATCATCATTAATATTATCATCATTATTATCAATGTAATTTTCAACATTATTATCATCATCATCATCATTATCATTTTCATTACTATCATTTTTAATATTATTATTATCAATATTACTATCATCATCATCATTATAATTATCAATAATGTTATCATTATCATTATCATTATTATCATTACAATCATCATAGTTGATGATAATAATGCTAATGCTAAAAAAAATAATCATAATAATGATAATAATAATAATAACATTAAAGATTATATTAATAAAATAATAATGATAACGATTATAACAATAATAATATTAATAGTTACTACTACTATAATTATTATTACTATTACTATTATTATAATCAATAGTACAATATGATAATAATGATGATAATATTAGTAGTAATGATAACAATAATAATTATGATTAAACAGCAACAACAAGGATAATAATGATAATAATAGTAGTAGTAACATCAATGATAATAACGAAATGATGATAATAATAATAGTAATAGTAATATCAATGATAATAATAACGAAATAATAATAATAAATAATAATAATAATGATGATGATGATAGTAACAATAAGATAGTAATAACAAATATAATGATGATATTGATGATTAACAATAATAATAACAATAATAATAATAATGATAACATTAGTAATAATTACAGTAACAATAATTGTAATAATGATGGTAAAAATATATAATAATAATGATGATGATAATAATAAGGATAATACTGACAATGATAATGATATTAGTAAATGGATGTTGATAATAGTAATGATAATTATGGTAATAATAACAACAATGATACCAATGATACTATTACTACTAATAATAATGATAATGATAATAATCTTACTAGTAATGAGAGGAATGATAGAATGATGGTTCCTGTCATCATTATTATCATTAATATATTCATCATTACCCTAATTATTAAAATCATCGCTACTATCATCATTATCATATTGTTATCATTACCGGCGTTGTTGTCCTAGTTATTATCTTCATTACTATTGGTATCATTATATTGATTATCATTACCGTTATTATTACTATCATTCTTATCATTATCATTAATATTAATACCATCTATATTGCTATTATCACCTTTATTGTTATTACTATTATCTTTCTTCTTATTATCATATTATTACTATTGCTATTATCATCATATTCACTATCAACATTTTCATCATTATCATTATTAACATCTTAACCAGCATCATCATCATTATCACTGTCATTATCACAATCATTACCTTTTACTACTACTACTTTTCAATTGATTTTTCGCCGAGGAACTGCTGGAGTCCAAGATCTATATAAGTACTTTGTAGACCTAGCTGGAGCCTTACCTATGCACTCGTAGCGAGCTTTCCTTTGTGCAGGTTACGGAGGCAGTCTGTTTTTCGTATTTTCTTCGTTGTCGTGATTATTCTTGCCAAATCGGGATATTTTTTTATGCAAGAGTGAGGTTGTGCGCCTTGTCCTTTCTTGTGTGACATGAATTTTAATGTTTATGTTACAGCTCCCGAGGCTCCCACAATAATAGATGAGAGCTCCATCATTTTCCAGATTCTAATTCCATCGCTTCCATTTATCAGCGTATTGTTAACTCCATCTAGCTATTCGAGAGCCAGATGGACAAGTAATGTCACCAATCAATTACGGTTATGTTTGAATTGCTATGTTCTCATATTTGATCAGTGTATATAGAGAAGTCTCAAAGTATTTCATACGTACCCAACATCACTATCATTATTACTATTCCCACTTTACTCACAGTTCCCAGTGCAATATCTCTGGTGCGTCGTCAGATCCCTACACCAGGACATTTTTGGAAATTCACTCAGTATGTTTTATAGTTCCATCATATTCCTTTTCATTCGAGACAGCGGCAATGCCTTTATCATTCGCGGTCACCAATTGTGGCCAAAGCCTGATCCTTTTCCACCATGCTGGTACCTTGTTTCCTTCTTTGGCTTCCTCCAAACAGGCCCGCCATGCGCTCTCTCGCTGCTTGCTCTGTTATTTTGTGAAAATGTCCACGCTGCCTTTCGTTGAGCACCGCTTCGGCACGCTCATCTACGTTTAGTTCGCTATTTTCTCCTTTTCTCTCCTTCGGTGCCTCTTCCCCAGGTACTGCCGTCAATACGTCCTTTTCACTGTGTAATGTGTATCTAAAAAGGCTAACTTGCTCGGTTCTTGTCCTTTTCAAAAACTGTGTATCTGCAAAAGGATGGCGAGTTCTACGTATTGTGATTAATATCCTTGTCTTTCTATCAATTCCTTCGTTTTCAGTCCATCATTTCAGGACTCCTGTACCACACTCAACAGCTGCAGCCGCCACAAAATATATTGATGGCATGGTGTCTTCGCCATTCAGCTTTTCGTCGCTTTCTGATTTTTCTTATATATCCTTTTCTAATATTCTTCAATTCTGCATATGCCTAACAACCCTAAGAATTCCCAGTCTTATATCTTGCACCAGGTTCGGTGGATTTCATTATCTGGCATACTCAGCCCTTATTGATCTTATCATTATTATTATCATCATCATCGACCTTCTAGCTTCTAAGCGACCTATATGAACCGTGAATTCCTACAGGAAATTATAATTTTTCACTTTTTATGGCTGAAGGTCATACCTTTTACCTTCCATATGAATCTCACATTTCCTGTAGATCTTGTAAATTCTCTCTCCTACCCAGTCATGCCGGTGTATTTATTCTTTTCATTGCATTCTCAGACAAGAGGATTGTCTCGACAACCTAGCCACACATTCTACATTTACTACAGCTCCTGTGATTTACCGGTCTTGGCTCTGGCCTGATGGTTTGCTCTTGGGCTGACAGAATATGTGTTTCTGTTTCTCGTTGAATGCCTCCATTCCGCAGCCATCTCCACCTACCCTCTCCGGCAACTTTGTTTGTCAAATGAACTCGTAAAGTAAAACTTTTTCGTTTCGTTCGATATGTTTTTCTGAGGTTGTATTCTGGCACTGTTTCTTTTACATCTATGTTTGATATATTAGCTGCAATCGGTAGTTGTGCCTTGCTTTCTTTGAGTCGCTCTGTAGCCCAATAATTGATGTAAATATCGCGTCTTCAATACTGAAAAGCCTTTCCACCTTTTCGTGAAAAGTACAACCAATCTACATTGCTCTTGGGATGGTGTGCTTGATGCATTGCCATCAGTTCCGAGTGCCTCAATCTAGTTCATGCGTGTCTTGCTTCCTCCAGTCTCGTAAGGCAGAGTGGACACTACCTCGTAACTGGAACAGTCCAAGAGTTAATTACTTCCAGCATGAAATCTCCATTTAACCTAGTCTCTAACGCTTTCCGTGTCCTTCCTTTAGTCTATGCTGACTTTTTTTTTCTTTCATCTGATCATTTTATATCGCCTGACTGTAGATATTCGTAATTTTCCTCGCCTTGAAAGCGTCTAATTACCTTGTTGTCTGGGGATTTAATACCACCGAGGTTGACATTTCAGCCCTTTGCAGAGCAGTTGATGCACAGTCGCCGAGGCCGGATTCATTTCAGTGCCCGAGCTGTAAATCGAGCCTGAATTACTCATGTTTTTTCCGGTTCCTCCCCGACGATTTGAAGCCATCCGTGTAGAGTAAATCATTAGTTCTATGTAACCTTATTCCCAGGTGTTGCTTTTCTCAGGATGATTGTGAGAGCGTCCACTGATATGATAAACAGTAGGAGGTGATAGTGCATCTCCCTGTAAAATCACCTTTTTGGTTTCAACGAATATTTCATCTTCGAAATTCCAACCCTCCTTGCCTTCGTTGCTTCTATCAAATTTTGGATGTATTTGCTGGTCTTCAATGTTTCTAATGATTCCATTGGCTTTGCACAATCAATGATTGCGACAATCAACCCAAGCCACCAACAGATTCCTCTGACGTTGTTTTATTTCCTTAAAGATCATCTTATGCATGACTTCATTCGGCAACAGTTTTGTTCATTGGTGTAACTACATGTATATCTCATTGGTGAATAACAAAACAGAAGGTGCTGCAAAATGCTTTATTCGCCTGGCCATAATTTCGAAGTGGAAGACAAGTTCATCAGCGAGAGTTGCGGCTGAATATCACCCTTTGTAATTCTGGATAAGCACAGCTCTTCCCCTGGTCGTCCCCTGGTGCCCTCACCCCCTCTAACTGTAGAGTCATCGCAAGCTTAGAGTGCATACTTACGGCATTCTTCAGCCAAAATCCCTAACACAGAATCTGGTCTTTGAAGCTCTCCAGTTTGGGGATTTCTTAAGGATTTTCTTAATGGCGTGTTCAGTGGCGGAAATATCTTCGCGATCTCCCCAGCCTCTGACTTCTCGGCAGAACAGATCCAGCCGCTCTTCCCCCTCCCCCCCTCGCCTCGCCCCAGTCAGTCCCGGATGGTTCCTTCTGCTGGGTCTGGCGTCTCGCTTTCTTCCGTGGTGGTGCTGAGGATAATGGTAATTATGATAGTAATGGGTAGTAGTAGTAAGAATAATGATAATAGCAATATCAATAATAATAACAATATTTATCATTATTATTTATTATTATTACTATTACTATTCTTTTTATTATTATTATTTTCTCATTATTGTCATTGCCATCATAATTGTTATTATTATTTACTCTAATTGTTATTATCAATACGATAATGATTATTATTACTATTGATAGTCTCGTCATTATTATCATTATTGTTGTTTTTATCATTATTATAATTATGATCATTATTATAACCATTATCATTATTATCATTATCATTATTATAACCATTATCATTATCATCATTACCATTATCATCGCCATTGCTATTATTATCAACAATATTAGTATAATTAGTAGTAGTAGTATCATTATCATTTTATTATTATTATTATTATTATTATTATTATTATTATTATTAATGATGATATTATTGTTATTATTATTATTATTACTATTACAATTATTATTATTAATAATTTCATCATTATCATTATTACTGATATCATTAATTTCATTATCATAATAATTATCATGATAATGGTAATTGTTAATATTATCAGTACTATTAAAGTTGTTATTGTTATCACTCTTATTACTATTATTGTTGTCGTTATAATTGGTACTGTCATCATTGTCAATATATCAATATGATGATTATTATATTTAAATTACTACATATAATATATGATCATTCCATTATCATATTATTATTGTTATTTATTATATTATTATTATTATTATATCATTACCTTGATGATGATTATCAATATTTATCACTATATCAGTAGTAGTAGTATCATTATCATTATTATTATTGTTGTTATTATTATTATTATATTATTATGATGATTGTTACTAGTATCATTATTACTATTATTACTGTTATCATCACCATTATTGTTATCGTTGATATCATGATATTGTCCTTACTGTCACCATTGAATTTTACCTTTCATAATGATGAGGATGATACATATTAATAATGATAATAATAACTATGACAATAATGATAATGACGATAATGATAATGAATGATAATAATGATGAAAGATAATGATAAAAATTGAAACAATAATATGATAATACAACAATAATATATGATGATGATGATAATGATAATAATAAGGAATATATAGCATCAATGATATTGATTATGATGATGATAATAATCATTATCATTTTATTACTATAATCATTATTGTTATTATTATCATTTTTTATTAGTATCATTGTTGTTGCAGTTGTTGTTACTATTGTTATTATTGTTTTCGTATCATTAGCATCATTACTATCATATTGAAGATTTACTTATCATAATTGTTTTGTTATTGTTACTGTTGTGGTTATCACTGATAACAAGCCTCACGCAAAGGAGGGCAGATTCAGCCCAAAGGGACAGTCCGGAAAGGGAAAGGCGAAAGCCCGGCAACGGTCTGGCAGATTTTTGATTGTTTAATGCCGTCTTTTGGAAGTCTACGTCCTTTTGGGTCAAATATATGTTGATACGCAATGGGGGCTGTCCCTCGCAAAAAAATCGGATTGAACATCGTTAATCTCCTAAAAATGATTTGGGGAATTCATGGCATTCGGGAAGAATTGCTTTTCGATTTACGAGAATTGGTCAGGAAAGGGATGGGAACCGAGAGGAGGCGCAGAGCCCTTCCAAGTGTTCCAAAGGCGATTTCCTTCAACACTAAAATGTTCATACATGGCAGCAATGACAGCCTTGCAAGGAACAGCTATGACCAAGCTACAGTGATGGTGTTAAGCTCCCTTCAACAGCTAACACATTTCTTACCAATTCCACTGATTAATACATTGCAATCCGATTAATGTCACCTGAAGCATAGTGGGCTACAAAGCGCTGAGGAATATCCAAGGCGCTGGCACTGTCCTTGTGCAAAATCAACGCATTAACTTGCAAGTGAGAAGAGGCTGCCGCTCGAGTGCGACCTGGAAGCGTGTCTGCAGCGCATTCCCTCCGCCGACGGAGAGGAGAGCGGGTCCCTCCTCGCTGCATTCCAGAGCCTTTGCTTCGGACATTCCGCCTCCTGGTCTTGTGCTGGCAGTGCAAAGGGCTTCAGATTCCCGAACATCGTATGTTTGATTTTTTAAAGAATGACTCACGCCCACCGTCGGCGTCTAGACAAGAGATGAAACCGTTTCATGAGATCTTTTGAAGCATCGGTCCCCAAAGTGGGCGCTAGATCTAGGGGCGGTGGGGAGCGACAACTAAAGCTGCTAAGTAATTGGTTTGTTAAATTAGGTTTTATTTGTGAATTTCACCTTTGTGTTTAATCTTGCTGTTTTCGAATTGAAACATACCAAATTAAAAAGGTGTATCCGCATGTGTGCCCTGGGGTGGGGGTGGGTGGGAGGAGCTGAGACTCCACCTGGAAGACAAAGGGTCGCCAGCCGGGAAAAGTTTAGCAACCTCTGACTTAAACAGATAATCACTAATTAGCTCAGGTAATTACTAGGTATGATGTAAGCGACGAACAAAATACAATCATAGCCATCATTATAAACACCCCTCTCGTAATTTATTATTGTCATTATTATTAAAATTATCATTATCGTGTTTATCCTTATCCTTATCAGTGCCATTCTTGCCATTAGAAAATCATTCCACTCATTACTATTATCAATATCATTATCGTTATTATCATTATTATAATCCCAGCTAATTACTACCATTGTAGCCTCCATTATCACTGCAAGAAGACAAGTGCATTTATCAAACCAACACGTGCTTCTTGACAGCTTTAGTGGAGTAAAAAATGATATTTGTATATCCATGCTTAAACACCTACTTATATCTCTCTCTCTCTCTCTCTCTCTCTCTCTCTCTCTCTCTCTCTCTCTCTCTCTCTCTCTCTCTCTCTCTCTCTCTCTCTCTCTCTCTCTCTCTCTCTCTCTCTCTCTCTCTCTCTCTCTCTCTCTCTCTCTCTCTCTCTCTCTCTCTCTCTCTCTCTCTCTCTCTCTTCTCTATATATATATATATATATATATATATATATATATATATATATATATATATTATATATGTACATATATATGTATATAATATGTATATATATATATATATATATATATATATATATATATATATATATATATATATATATATATATATTATACAAAAAGTGGTAATAATTGTATATGTATTGATAACACTGATGATAGCAGTGCAATCGTAATGATAATTATGCTAGACATATATATGTATATATATATATATATATATATATATATATATATATATATATATATATATATATATATATATATATATATATATATATATAGTGTGTGTGTGTGTGTGTGTGTGTGTGTGTGTACATATATACATGTGTATGTGTATCCCAAATTATCATCTTCACATTCTTCGTCCTTACCATTCCTCGAGCAGTCAAGAACAGAAGTTATGCCATTCACTTACTCAAAATTCCATTTGCATTATTCCGTGACGAAAATTTCTTCACGAAAGGAATAATTCTTTCGGCAGCGCCTTATTCTCCGCCATTAAGCACGCGTGGCCCTAAGCAAGGCAGAGGAAAGGCAGCAAAATGCAGACGAATTCCGACGTGACTCTCCTCCGGATAAGCCAGCTGGCGGCCACACCTGGCGAACGCTGTGTTGCGGACACGGACGACCCAAAATATTTATTTTTCTCTTACCTGTCACCGAGTTATGAATCTTACTTTTGAATTGAGGAGGTATAGTATGCATATCCTATTTGTGATTGGTCATATGTTTTAACCTACTGCGCCTTGAGGGTGAAGAGAATGCAGCCAAAATACCCATGCATTCAGCAGGTATTTGCAAGGGCCTACGTGCTAGACTTCCTGTCACGTATCACAGTCTGTAAGACATACTTGGAGGTGTATAATATTCTGATTTATGTTCACGTACACGACTTTACATCATAACATGTATCTTGCTAATGTGTAAGCATCGACGTTTGATTTTTTGAATATGCGCAGGAAACAAACATAGCAAGACAATGAATAGTACTGCAAATGCTGTTTATTTTAGCTACCTGGCGACAACATGGCGCTACCTCGAGGGGACAGGGGGTGGGTGGTGGGGTGGGGGGAGGGGGGGAGGGTGGGAACTCACAACGCCAGCGGTGTAAAAAGGGAAATGCAACTCGACTTTGATAAGAAAAGATTTCACAGAATGAACAAGTCCCCTTCCTGAGGAAAACTGGAAGAGTGATTAAAGATATATCTTTAAAGTCCATTTCTGTGCCACCGTTTCATATCTCGAGCTGTCCCTCAACCACCTGACCTTGACCGCTCTCAGCGTGGAGCCTTCGGTGGTCACCTCGCTCGCACCTCACCTCCTCCTCCGCCCCTGGAGTGAGTGCCTCGCTCGCAGAGATGGCTGTCCGGGGAACCGCCTGTCTGAGAGAGACAGCGAGGGGGGGGGGGGGCTCCACAGGACCTGAGTCTGACCAAGATGTTCCAGGCACAAATGTTTGAAATATGTTGATTTATATATATATATATATATATATATTATATAT